AACACGCCATCACCTTAATCTGAGTAATATGTACCTTGCAAGGGAATATTTCTGAACTTTCCATCTTCTAAGACCTTGCTAATTGAGGAATGAAGATTTCCCAAAGGAAATGTGAAGAACACTATTTGAAAACAACACAAAAGGATAATTTTCTGTAAGTCCAGATGTGATCAGACTGCAGGCTCTCCAAGGCAGGAACTTGGTATGCCTGGTTAGCAGCTTTAGATGCAGCCATTCTGGGGACAGTAAATATTTGCAGTAAATTTACTAACAGATACAATTTTCTGACACATTTGTGCTGAAGCAACTTTGAAGACATAGAATACCATAGGAAGGAAGAGAAGAAAAAAAAAAAGAAAGAATATATGTATTTCTTATAATTTAAAATTACAGAACATGCTGAAGTCAACAAGGTTAATGACATGATGAAATTAAGGCACTTTCTCAAGCCTTTGCTGAGTCAGGGCCTAAATGCACGGCCAGGCCTAGAGTAAAGCACTTGCAATGGGAATGGTAGTTGGCAGACACTCTGCTTTAAGAGGGAATTATTTCCCCTGTGTGTTTGAATATTCCTCCAAGTGCTGCTGGCTTTACTGGGATGCTTTGTTCTGTTTCCCAGCTGAGCTCCCATGCTCACACACAGGAGCAGTAGCACAGCTGGAAGTGGATTAGAGCAATCTGGCAGCAGCAGTCGGGGGAGGAATTAAGCGCCTTGCTGCTGGAATGGGAGGCCTAAATTACATTATTATTTAGAACTGAGTTTTGACTTCACTGCTCTATGGTTTTGCCCTGGTGGGCAACTCCCTTCTTTGTGATAGTCTTGGTGTATCCTGTGTTCCCCACAGCAAGGACTTAGATGAAGTTATGGCCTTGCTCAGTTCAGTGTCCAAATCTTATATAACCAAATGTTCAGGTTTAAACACCCAACTGCTCTTGATGTCCTGACAGGATTGTTCACAGGCTTGTATTTAGCCATTGCAAGCTATCACATGATAGGAAGCCCAGTGACTGGCTCCTAGTAGCAAATTTGCAAAACTGTTGATGACTTCAAAAGGAAAAGAATTGAGCCAGGATCTTTTTTCCCCTAAACAAATTTTATTTTTTTTTTTAACTCATGCAAATGTTCTTCATACAATAACAGGGAAAAGAAGAATGAGATGTAAATGGAAATCAATGTTACTAAGTTTCTTTATTAGATATATTTTGAGTCATTGACTTTCAGCTTGAAAATGGTGCTAGAAATGAGGTGACAAAATGGGAATTATAGAAATAATTTTTGTAAAAATATTCTTATTTTTCTGATTGCAAAAATAGTAATCCAAATTTCATGGACTTTGAGGCCAGAAGGATTTCTGTGTTATTTACTATAATAACCTACAAGTCACATCCCAGCAAGTTTTTCCCATTGAGCAAACATGTTAATGTTCCATCCTTAAAAGGGTTTGGTTTGATTGAGCAGAGAACAGGAGGAACTGATGTGTCTTTGGTGCACTAAAGTGTCTTTGGTCTTTAAGGCTTTTTTCCAGTCCTTGAGCACTGTCTTACTGTTTTCCTTTGACCTCTTGCTGGAATTCCCAATGCCTTTTTCCTTTTTCTAATTGGGGACACCAGAACTGGGAAAAATATTTTTAATACTTGCCAAAACAGCTCAGTTGCAACAGAGGCAATGTGACCTCCCTACTAATTCTTGGATTATTTTCATACATCCAGACTTAATTATAACTGATTTTTTTCCTGCTCCTTTCAAGTAGGTCAAGGCATAATCAAGATGATCCCTAAGTCATTTCAAGGGGTTTGAAGCAAAAAAAAATAAAATCTCAAAAGCAGAGAAACAATGGGAAAGAATTAAGATGTGACTCATTTTTAAGTCTCATAGTTTCATGGCCTTTTGTGTCTCTGCAACAATTTTTGAACACAAAAGGCAGAAAAATCTGGAAATATTAAATAAATTTATTTGCGACTGAGATTTTCCAAGTGAACTGAAGGATTTGGGAACTTAAGAGCTTTAAAATTTCATCCTCAGGTGCAGCTAGCTAGTCATTGCTGTCTCCCTCTCATGTGTCTTCACAGATGCTGGAATTAAATAACATATTTGAAAGCAGTGGAATGCAATTGGGATTATCCTGGTATAAACAGAAACAGACTTTATTCTTCTACATGCCTGGAATTGGAAGAAATTGATATTAAAGATTTAAGCACCAACAGCCTGGTGTTGTTCCTGTACAGGAACAAATTTCTTCGCTTAAATCTTGGAACACAAGGGGTCCCCAGAGCACTGCTGCTAAAGCCCAGCTGCACTCACTACCAGAATCTCACTTCACTTTTACTTGAATGCAGATACATGAAGTTAGTTTTCCTTTGTTAGTCCCAGAATCGTCTTATTTGCTCTTTTGTAGTAAAACAAAAGTTTAACCTCTGAGTGAGCACTTAAAAATCGAGATAATGGAGTGATAACCTCACACTACAAATAATGTGTGTTTATAATCTGCAGGCTTTGATTTCATTTTTTTAATTTAGATATTTTTTTTTTCCAAGTTCCTGATGCAAATCAGCTGCTGCTTGTCTGCAGTTGCTTGAGGGACACCTGCACAAGAGTAACAGGGCAGAGGTCAGGATAAGGCCCTTGGGGACGTGCCCTAGAAATGATGCTTGTCACTTATGTGCTGCTACAGGGTCACGGTGATTTGTGAAATGCAAGTTCAGTGCTGTTCTTCCTGGGGCACTTGTAGACCAGTAGTTTTACATTCACTTGCTTCCTGCCCTCAGGGTCACTTGGACTCCTGAGAGACTTGGAAATGAAGCTTTTCTTTGGTGTCATTTGAACACCTGGGTTTTCTTCTTAAAAAACAGCATTTGAAGGTGCTCTGACCGCATTCTTCATGATAATGTTACAAGTATTGCATTTATTTCTTGCCTCCATTGTAAAAATGGAAAAGAAAAGGGAAGGAGGAAACCTGAGTTTTCAGTAAGAGAAATCTTTCTAAATGCTTGAAAACATGTCTAATTTACCATTTAAGGCATTATTTATTCACCTCCTTTGCTAGGTTTAATTTGGGAGTAGGAGAGATGGTATCACAAAAATAGAAAAATGCCAAGATGCTTCTTCTTTTTGTTATATTTACTGTTTATCATGTCTAACCTGATAACCTGAAACATTTCCACAGCTGGTGCATTACTGCTTCACTAAAGTAAAGCTTGTGGCCAGAGAGTATTTTTATTTTTATTTTTTATATAGAAGGTTGCAAGGCAAATGATTGAAATTATTTTTACAAGACCATATAAAAAGCTTGAGAAGAGACTCAAGTCTCCTAAATCCAGGTAACCACTTAATCCTTGGATCATTGCTCTCTGTCTTAAGAAAAGGTAGCTGGGAATTGAGTTTTTCTTTCTCATTCCTTCTATGGAGGATTTGAGATGCTTCTGTCAAAATATCCCAAATGTTTTGGGTGAAGCTCTAATCAATCAATCAATCAATCAATCAATCCCCATTATCATTCTGTAGATGGGGTGAGAAGGGAAGAGAGATGATAAGGGTGGGATCATCCCACCTAAATCTGTCTAAAAGTTACATATTAGTCATTCAAAAGTCCTGGTTTATTTCTGATCAATGGAGAGAGACAATATCAATCCATTGCTAAAGGGCATTTTGATTTTTCTTAAAATACGAGTCTAAAGATGGGAGAATTTCCTTTGGAGGTTCCTTTCTTTGCTACTTCTAAGGGATACTTGAACAATTAGGTCAGACTAATTACCTAGCAATTATATGGCTGAAGTTAGGCAAGGGGAATCTCACCCATAAGCAAATCAACAGATTTTTGATGTGTCTGGGTTTCTGAGGGTGCCTGGGGTCAGCTCCATATTCCTCTGAATTCTGGATGAAATATTCCTGGGGCTTAGCCCCTCCATTTCTCTCACTGCAAATACACAGAGCAACATAGATGTGCCTGCATGTATGGAAAATACATCCCTGTTTATGCCAGGCTCAGACCATGTCTGAAAGGTGATTTATGACCAAGTTGTGTGGCTGTTTCCATCTGTGCCCCTGTGTTTTTGTGACTCACCCCATTCCTGGTGTTTGCTCACCTCAACACTGACAGGGATTAAAAAAACCCCTTTTCAAGCCCCATCTCTGACTTGTCTGGAGGATGAACCTCTGTCCCCTGAAACCACTCCAAACCAGGAAAAAGTGAAGCTGAGGAATAAGAGACACTAATTTATTTCTCTCCTGTGTACACAAGCAGGTATTTGTTGATTCATTAAGTGGGCAGAGACAGACTGATCACAGCTTTTCCACATGGCTGTGTGGGCATTCAGCTTTATTGTGGGAACATGCACAAGTCTCTTTTCCAGTGAATATTGAATTATTTATCTGGAGTGGAACATCTTTAATAGGAGAGCTGAATCACTCCAGAAACTCCCTTTGGCCCAGACTTAGGCATCTAAATGCCTTGGATGCATGGGAGCACACAACCTTCATCCTCCTCTGCATTTCCAATGGCTCTCTCAGTGACCTCCCACTCATTTGCTGTGCAGAACTGGGGATTTTATGAGGCAGAAACATGCCTGGAAAGGATGCTGCAATGCTCAAAGGGGCAATGTATTTGCCCTGTGGGGAGTAAACCCTAATATTTAAGTAACTTCTAAAAAAAATTGGAGGTATTATCCTAGATCACTTGGGTGAACTGTGAAATTATATTCAAAGGGTAGGATTCATCTCGCCTGACTTCACCTCCCTGAAAGTGAGGTGTCTAGTCTGAGCTAGTCCTTTAGGTTTCATCTGTAATTCAGGCAGCAAGAAAGGCATGTGTGCAGTGAGTCACGCTGGTCTGAATCAGGTGTCTCCGGCAGTTGGATGGAATTACCCTCCGGAGATGCTCAGTCCCTCTGAGCAGAGAGGAAACCTACAGAACCAGCTTAGACAAGGCACCCCACTTGTAAATGGCTGAGCAGAAGGAATCAAGGCAGCACTCAGATCTCAAGAGTTTTATTGAAATCACAAGGGGAAGATAAACTGTTCAATATGGAGTGCAGAGTCACATGTATCGCAGTCACAGCTCCTCCATGGAGAAGAATTAATCTATACAGATTAAAGTTACAATATTCTGTTGAGCCAGCCTGAAAAGAAAAAAAAAAGGGCAGGATGGAGTAAAAATAGAGTGAAAATATGAATCCTTGATTTTTAATCAGTCTGTCAGACTAGTGGAAAGATATTATTTTCTTACCTTAAATTGCTGTTTCTTAGCTTGTTCCTCTCTCCTACCAGAAAACAGTATTGGGTCTCATATAATATCAAACTGTGAATCTGGAAGTGATCAGGAAAGGTGGTTTGTTTTCTTAAAGGAAAAATAAATCTCAGATGGTTTGATTGAGACTGTGAATATTTATGTACTGTTCCCCCTTTTCCCTCATTGCGTATTTCACCAAGTTCATTTGCGTGTGTTACAGGATAAATCTTACAGGAGGGCAGTGGAAGAAAGCAATAAAAAGGGAAAACATCAATCAGTGATGCAGGGTAGCAGCAGGAATTGTTAGTTTTTGTACATGGATCACACTTCGTTGTACTTGCCTGGGCTTGACAATTAAGAACCTTGCAATTGTGCCGAGATCAGCCTCAGGTAGTTTCAGATGTTGGCTACAAAAGACAAGATGTTGCTGGGTTTCAATCACTTTGAAGCCTTGTTGTCACAGGGATAATCACTTTGAAAGAGGGCCACATGTATTTGTCCTTGACTTGGAGAAAATGTTTTGTGACAAAAGGTTTATTTAATAAAAATGCCATGGGTGGTGTGAGTAACCTGATTTATTGGCAAATGTGGGTGGAATTTTGTGAATAATAACTTGCTTTGGAAAGTAAAAGTATTTTCTGTCAAACTGTTTGAAACAGAAGGTTATTCTCCTTTTAATTTGGAAATGATATGTTAATTTTGAAGATTACCAGCATTTAAAAAGTGATGCAAAAATGATTGGATGTCTAGGCAAGACTTAACCAGCCATCCCCAAACATGACTTTCTTGTTCTCATGTTTGTTTAGAAATCTTGCATTATTTTGCTTAAAAAAAATAACTATTTTTTCTCTCTTTTCACATAAATCAAATAGTTTTTATGTTCAATTTCCTTAAAAATCTGTTTGTTTTAGTACTCTTATTGTGCCTTCTATGCTTTGAATCTCTTTCCATAATAACTATCAAGTGCAATCCTTATCCTGCAAGAGGATCCCCACAAGCTCATAAAAAAGGAGTCATCTCACCTCATTTTAGCTATTTTAAATTTAGGTAGCCAGCCTGTCTATGAGAGAGAGTGAGAGAGATAGATAAAGTGAGATTGAGGCTTTTCTGGTGGTAATTCAGCTTCTCCTAGGTTACTATTTTAAGATGGAATGATTTGTCTTCCAGTGGCTCGTTCAGGCCACAGAGATTGGTGTTTATGTGCTTTGTCTGCTTTGCTATTTCTCCTTATCCCAACATTAAACAAGGAAGGAAATATTTGGAGTTCAAGGAAAGGGAAAAAGAGTCCTCGCCTGACCTCTGCAAATGCTGTGGGTGTGGGCAGCCTGAATCAGTTTTACTTTTTCCGAACCGTTTTTCTTTTACTACTTTCTAGTTACTTTCCATTTTGCTTCAGCCTTATTTGATCCACAGAAAACAGAGATGAAAACGACTGATGATGCTGGAAGTTTTATGGCTGGTATTATTTCAGGGGTCAGATTAACTGACTAAAATAGTCTCTTTTGGCTTTAAAAGCTTCTGGAGAAATCCTAATCCCACTGAAGTCAACAGCAAAACTTCCATGAGCTTCAGGATGGCCAAAATTTCACCCTGAGTACCTATTAATGAATCTTTGTCATCTGGCCCTCTGCTTGACTTGCAGGATTGCTCCATGCATTACATTTTCCAACGTTTTGTTCAGATGTTGTATAAGTACTTCAAGGCACAAGGGCTTCTCTCCATCCCCTGGAAATGGTTGCACAGCCAATAGTTTAAGGAAGTTTTTGCTTGAAGAGTTGAGGAACAGAGCCAGTCTGTTCTTGGTTGAACTGGAGTAAATATGGAATAGCTTGTTGACAATGCAGAGTTACTCCTCTTTTATGTCAGTGTAACTGAGAGCACAGTTTTGCCAATTATTAACTTCTGTTACATTATTTGTATTTCTGTGCATGTCAGAATTTGTTAATCTCATTGTTCAACATCAAGTAACCTTCTGCTGAAAACAGAACATCATTGTGAATTAGGTGTCATCAGCTAAATTGAACCTCACCCTGTGCATTTGACAGAGGGTAATACATTCATTAAGTGCTCTGTGGTTGCTTTGAGGTTGGAAAGTGCTATTTTTCTGGCTTCTAACTCAGAATTCTTAAGTGAAGTTGTTTAAAATCCTAGTTTTGAAGGCAGAAGAAAAATCAAAAAAAGCTCATGATGTTTTTTATTAATATTATTGTTTACTATTGGTGGGATGACAGGGCAGGACTCTGATTGCTAGAAGTTGTCTTTGGCTGCATAAGTAGCCCAGAATGAAGTAGAGAAGGCTGAGAGAGATGGCTTCACCATGGATTTTGTCTATACATGGTTAGAATTTCTTGGAATTCGAGGTTATATTAAATATATCGCAGTGAAGGCAATATGATGCTGGTGCCTTTGTGCTTGGTGATTCCACTGCCCAGAAAAATGGTTTCTAGGAGTTCAGACATTTCAGCTGATGACAGAACTCCTCTCTCAGAGGTGGTCACATTTGGGATCTCTAAGTTCCTACTGAAAGTCTGCAGGGTAGGGGAGCAGCTGGAGATAGAAATTTCAAAAGCAGCACAGAGCCACATACTCAGGCCTGGCTCTGCTTGGTGTTGTAATATTGAATCCTCCACCCTGACATTACCAAGACACTGCAAGGATGTGATTAGAAACTTCAGGAAAAGTTCTCCCCACGGCTCATTTAGGGGTCACCAAAACCAAGTGTAGAAGAGAAAACTCCACTGAACAAAGCGGAAGCTCTCAGGGTGTTTAGTTCAAACCTATTCTTTTAATTTTACTCACTTCAAGGAAGATTAATCCCACCCATTAGCTGTTATCATCAAACCTGTTTAGTTATTTAATGATGTTTCCCAGAGGACAAGTTGCCAAGGGAATTAGGTGCTTAGCCACTTCTGAAATTCACTGTGGGTGGTACTCTCACAAATGGAGAATTAGTAACCTTGTAGATTTTCACTTCTTTTTAAATGTCTTCATCCAGTCTGGTGCTGACTGGTGTTCACATGGCCTCTGCCTTGGTGAGTGCATCCTTTCCTCTGTGTTCTCAGTGGAGAAAATGTAGTCATCCCGATTTTCATGAAATAGCCACAGTATAGGTATTTTGGAATTAAGTCCAAGTTTAAGGAATTAATCCAAGCTGAGTTTGGTCAGTAATATGAATCCAGACAGTTCTTTCCTCAGGAAGAGTCCCAGAGCATTCAGAGCTGTAGGCTATTCTGGAGAGGTCATTTCCTGGACTCTATTCACAATTTTTTGTCTTTCACATAATGCTTAAATATCTACTAGTAAGAGAGAAAATCAGATTCTTTTACACATCCTCTTACTTTGCGTGGGGATTTCCCTGAGTACCTTCTCAAGGAACATAAGATTTCAAATCATACAGATTAATCTGAGGGTGTTAGGGCACCTAGAAAGAAGGATTTGCAACATGGATATTTGCATATGGATTTCAAAAAATGTCTTGGAAACCATTGACAGGCTTTAAAAATCTGACATTGTGCACCTAAAATCCATTTAATGTGGCAATTTGGGAATGTTTATTCTCTTAGTTTTTCAAAATTTTTTCACTATTTAATTGGAAGGAGAGCAGTTCTCTCTTATTCCCTATTTTTCTGTTTTCCAGGTTGTTCTGAGAAGTTTACTGGAATCTAAGATCTAGTTTACTAGGAAGAGTTTTGATTAAAAAAATGGGGTCATTGGTGTCACGAATAGTTGTTCAGTTCTTGCCTATCAGGATATAAGATGATCCTGACTGTGTGGTTATTTCACTGTGAGATGTCAGCATCCTGTGGGCTCCAGCAGAGCCTGTGAATTGGGTCACAGATGTATTGAACCCTGAACATACGCTTATTTCTGGCCTAAAGCTGCCGTATGCAAGTGCCAAGCATGAATTCAGATAGTTGTTTTTTTGCTGTCACAAACAGGCTTCACTCCAGGCATTGTTTTTGGGACAGCCATGACGCACTTTGATAGAGCAATGAGAGGAAAAAAAAACCCCAAAACGTAATAAGTTCCAGAAAAGTTACATAAACACACCTCACCTGCTGCTGCTGTCTCTAGGCACGCACCTGGCTGATCCCATGGACTAGCACAAAGCATCCAACATCCTCCTGACAATGGACTATTGCTCAGATGACTTGGAGAACCAACAATCCCAGTGAGTGAAGGGAATACTGAAAGTGGTCAGTGTTGAACCAGTTCTCTAAAATCCAGATATGCTAGAAAATTCTGTTTCATTGCAGTCCAATGTGGCTGGTTAGAAAAATGAAGGAGTGGTGTACAGGGTTCCAGTTCCTGTGTGATGGCTTTCAACAGACAAGAAGAATATCATAGGCAATATGTGGTTTTTTGGTGTATCATCTTGACACGCTGTTTTTTCCTTCTGTGATCTCTTCCACTGCTTTTCGTTTTTTGTCAGGAGAAGACATGGTACAGCAAGGTCCCTGTATTCCTTTTCCCACTGCAGGGTGAGCTTTATTCTCAGGCAGATGTACTTTGCTGGGCTACTTTGCCATTGGATTGTGTTGGCTTTGGAGCACAAATTAACAAAGAAATTGGTTCTTGGCTTTTTTTCCTAGACACTACTGTAGCCATAGACAATGAACATTTTAAAACAATTCTTATCCTGCTCTAATCACTTATTCTTTACCTTTTTTTGGCAAAGCACTTGAAAGGGGCTTGGTGAAGGCTCTGAAGAAGCTGGATGACTACCTGAGAACTCCCCTGCCAGAGGAGATTGATGCAGACAGCACTGAAGAGGAGAAAGTGTCTAAACGCAAGTTTCTGGATGGAGATGACCTGACACTTGCTGACTGCAACCTTCTGCCCAAACTTCACGTTGTCAAGGTAAAAGATGATATGAGATGGTCAAAGAGGCCTTGCTCTGACAGCTGAGCTCCAAAGTCAACATGCATTTCAGCAGAGAGTTCTTAAGGCCTAGAAGAGCAGTTTGAAATTCACTTCTGCTCGTCAATGTTTCCTACAGGTTAAATAAAGGAACTTTATACCTAGTTCATGGGAAAACTATCCCATCACTTCTTAGTGGTGAAGACAGTACTAAATTCTAGGTGCCTTGTCTCCTTATTTTTACCCTGCTGCAAGTAGCAGCAGTTTTTTGTATTAATTAGTTCCTAATGCCCTTAAGAAACATGTCAAAACATTAGTCAGTTCCCACCCATTTGTAACTTAAGAGCAGCAATCCATCTCTTTGGGGAATATTTATTCCATCTGGTATTTCACACGGAGAATTTAACAAATCACAATCATTGCAGAGGTCCAGGATTTAAGATGTACTACAGTTGCTGGTATGGTGCAAATCATGTACATCATCTTGACTCTAAATGTTGCATTTATTTAATTTATCAGATGACATGTTTCTTTAGAGTAATGCAAGTACCTGGCAGACCTTGGCAAGCGAGTGAGCTAGGAATTAAAGCCAAGTCATGCATCTAATTTGGCTCTGTGAGCCAAAACATAAACTGAGCCTGGGAGCTGACTGCACACATGCAAAATGGAAAAAAAAAATTGAAAAAGCACATAAGTCACCAGGTAAGAAATGTGATAATATCCTCACAGGTCTAGTGCTTATTCTGGCTCATCTTCATTGGCAACATTGGAGTCAGACAATGCAAAATAAATGTGTGGCCCCTCACTGGTTCTTGTCTTCTAGGGATGAAATGAAAGATGTAAAAAAGAGAACTAAATGTTTTCTCAGACAAGCATAGCCATAGCATATTGCCTGAAAAGCATTGAACAGATAGAAGAAAAGGATAAATTATATTTTCATTTTGTGGAAGATGTGTGCTGGAAATTTTGAAAATGTTGACTTAAGTTGCTGAGCAGGTTTTATCTTCCCCATATGCGTGTGAAGCACCGTGGAAGGCAAGAATGCTTAATTAAATGCAGTTTAGGACAGGATTTGGACTTGCATATACCAAGTGGATCCTGGTAATAAAAACAAATCACAGTAGTTTCTGGGAACATGACTGTCCTAAGAAATCTGAGATGGAAAACAGCTCTACCATGTGCTTTAAAAATAAAGGGGAACTCTGTGGCACATATGTATGTAATTTATGCCCAGGAACAATTTTATACTGTCAGAACAATTAGAGATTAGAAGCACTCATTAAATTAGCTAATCCATCCCTTCCTATCAGATAGTTCTCTCTGTCACCACAGGCTTATTCTATATGGTATATTCCTACAGGGAAACTGAAATATCCCAATACAGCAAGGTACTTAACTAACTAACTAGTTTTAAGTACAGATTAATCCCATTGACTTCAATGGGACAGTACAGGTGCTTAAAATTAAATATGCACTTAACTATTTTCCTGAATAAGGGCCTGAGTGTTTTCAGAAATCAAAAATTTGCCTTGATAGACAATTTCCTAGTCTAACAAGTCTTGAAATAACTATTTTCTCTCTCAGTTTTTCCCAATGCTTCTGTTTCTAATATATGCTAAATCATCTTGGTTTCCTAATCATGGTACCCATACCACCCTGAATTTTTCCTTTTCATGAACACGGATAGAGCCTTACAACTGCTGTAGGTGGTTACATCCTCTGACACCATTTGCCAGGCAAAATATATTACATATATTAAAAATATAATACCATATATATATAATAAAGTTAAATTTAATGATTAATATGAAAATATGTTATAATCATTACTAATGCCTTTCTCTTAAATCTGTCTCACTTTTTATGATTCAGCCCCTTCTTATGTGGTGTCTCAGCTTTAAGGGATGTATTTAAGACTTGTAAAAAAAACAAACCCCAAAACCCCAATATAGTAAAATCAATGAACTTCAAGTGCCATAAAAGTTGAAATTTGGTGACACTGCCAGCTCATAGCTTTAGAGTGTCCTCAGGCCAAACAGCAGCCTTGCAAGTTAGGGGACAACCAGGAGTCACTTCTCAGGCTTTTCTGTAATAAACCCCTGATTCTCCAAACATTTCTCTCATTTGCTATTAATTATATGTCAGAAGAGAGCAAGAAGCTCCCTAAGAAGGAGATACATCCCCTGTGGGATGCTTTTTTCACGTGTTTTATCTTTGCTTTAGATTGTTGCAAAGAAATACCGCAACTTCGAGTTCCCAGCGGAGATGACGGGGCTGTGGCGGTACCTGAAGAACGCGTACACGAGGGATGAGTTCACCAACACCTGTGCAGCAGACAAAGAAATCGAGCAAGCCTACGCAGATGTGGCCAAGAGGCTCAGCAAGTCCTAACTGCCCCCAGCCACGGCTCAGTATCCCCTTTCACAGACTCTGCTCCTTGTTGCCTTAAGATGTACTTTATCCTTATGCTGTCTGGTTGGCATCTTTATGACTTCACCTGCTCCAAGTGTAATGGGCAGGGACAAATCTGCCTCTCCCTGGAGAAAAGAGAAGGCAGCTGTAGTGGGGGGTGGGGGATAGATACCCTTTGAGGTCTAACCCAAGATCTGGCTCAACTAGTATTATTTGCAATCAGTATTGGAAATGAGTCCACTTGACTAGTTTCTTGTTCTGTGTTGGGGGTACATCATGACCTGTATTCTTTAGAGTTTTAAAAATAGCTGAAATTTCAGGTGAGAGAATTAGGAATACATAGGTTCCTCTCTAGGTTATTTCAAGGACGCTTTTTCCCTCAGTTCTGTTAAGATCCTTGAGGCATGAACAAAATAGAAGAGAGAGACAGACAGAGGGGAAAAATAGGAGTTTGACCCTAAAGCAGAAATGCTCTTAGCAGTTATATTTAAATAAACTCTCTGAAAGCATCTTCTGTCTTAGCAGGCCCGGGAGTTTATAGGGTATTTATTTTTAACTTGGCGCAAGAGGGGGGAAGCCTGAGTGAATATGTCAGACTTGCAGATGCTACTCTGCATAAAATTTGCATGGTGTTGTTGGATCTGAATGTTTTAAGCAAAAGAGAGTGAAAGAGCAATTGAGCAGACAGCCCTTGGAAGAGCAGGGCCTGTGCCAAAATGCCCAGTGGATCTGCTGGTTGGTAGAGACAGACAGACAGCAGTAACAGGGGCAGCAGATTGACTCCAGCACCCACAGAGGGAATTGGCACAGCAAACCAAACCACGTAGGATATTGTCGTCTTGACTGTAAGGTTGCCAGTTCCTTTATAATTGCTATCTTGGGAAACTTGGATCAGCAGTGGGAAGCTGTCGCTGCACATGGATTCCAGGCAGGGGAAGCGCTTTCGTCGCCTTGGGCTCCAGATGGGTCACTTTCAAGTGCTCATCATCTCACCCCAGGAGGAGTTTGCTGTGAGAGCCTCAAAGAGGGCAGGCTGGCACAGTGAGAGGCACATTTCCAGACAGGAATTCAGCAAGTGTTTTCTAGCAGAAATCCATGCATGATGCCTCAATCCTGCTCATCCAGGCTTTACCCATCCAGGTTCCACAATTCTGAATTAGGCTTTTTTTTCCTAAACGTGATTATTTTGCTCTGTCTGCAGGGCCTGCTTGGCACATCTGCTTTACACTGGTGATTATTTGCACGTTTCTTCAGCAAATTCAGAATGGCAGCTCTTTCACTTGAAACTCATGTGCCCCAGTATGCACAGGAGAGCACATGGTTTGTGGGTTTCAGTTTGTGGGGGCATTTATTGCTGTTTTAAAAGATAAAATAAAGCTGAGCTGTAACCTGATGTGGCTCCCCTTCTGATCAGAGCTGCTAAAGCTGCACTGGTTTGAGGGGAACCCCAAGCTGGTGAGCTTTGACCAAGGGGAACCTCACAGCAGACTTGTTTGCAGCCAGAGAGCTGCAAAAGTGGAACAACATCGAAAGCCAGGCTCTGCCATGTGATGCTGATGACAATCTGAGACCATCCTTTTGCTTTAGTGGGTTAATTCCACTTCTCACACTAATCCAGCTGGGAGCAGAATGTTGCTCATTGACTGAAGGGAGTTTGTGGTTGACTATTGTTTCACATGCAATGGTCAATTTGTTCTGAACTTTCAAAACCTTGGAAGAAAATCCATGAACTCCCAAGTCTTCTCCTAGAATGAGCTATTTTAACAGTGGCTAGACTGGAGGGTAAAGGCTTGCACTCTTTAAAATATTGCTGAGAAATCAGCTGGCTCAGAGAACACTAATAGCAGCCAGAAAAATCTGATGAGATTAGAAGTATCTGCACAAGCACATGTGGCTTGTTAAAAACATTTCTTCATGAGATTGGAATTATTGTGATATTATTTTCTTTTTTTTTTTTTTTCCTTTTTAAGAACTCTGCCAAGTATTTATTTATTTATTTATCTTAATTGACTCAATCCTTTCTTTCTGTCTTTCTGGTATTTGTTTACACTCAACACTTGGGTCAGGATAGGTTGGTCAGTTTAGAAAAGTGTTATTAGCAAAGCTCTCCAAGAAAGTTCTTCTATCTGATCAATGGTCCTGGGGATTTTCTATTCTCAGTATGATCCTGTCAATCAACAGAAACTACATTTTTCTCAGTTGCCTTTTCCCAGGCTTGCACTTCAGTCAGTTGCTTTCCTTAGTCACAGTTGCTGCATTTGAATAAAAGACACAGAAGCAGATGCAGATTCTTGCTCTCTTATATATTATTATTTACATCCTAAAAGAAGACTGTCCAAACATGCAGCAGATCTCAGGTGAACCAGGGTCTGCCCTGATTTCCATCTCAAAATTGTCACAATTTTTCTGAATTTCATAGTTCTGAAATTCTCTTATATATTTGTCTCTATTTTTCATGGAAGAGGGACAAATCACAATCAGCTGATTTCTGTGACCTAAAATTGTATCTGTTTTAAAAATATTATGTTTAAAAATGATCTGGCTTATATCAAAAAGAAAATGATCTATAAATGCAATGAGTTTTTTCTAAGATGATTTTCATGTTCTTAAAAACTCCTTAAGATTTCATAATAAAATCTGAAAGTCCCCAGGCTAATTTCCTTTCAATTAATTGCAACAATATTTCCTTAAATATCTTCATTTTTCATACAGTACTCTAAAATAGATAAAATATAATGATGGATATGAGAAATTAGAGGAAAATGGATCAGCTTTCAGCTATAGTGCTGATTCTGTCTGAATTTAAGTCTCTGCATTCTAACTTTGCATTTTACTCATAACTCCATTATAGGCTGATCCAAGATCATGGACAGGTTCAGGCATTCCCTGACCTTTGTTTGGGTTTGAAATCCAAGCTCATGTTTTCAGATCTGTAACTTTCACTCCCCTTTGTGCTTCTTGGCTTTATCCCTTGCCAGAAGCAGGAAATACTGGAAATCCTACATATAGAAGTGTTTTGCTAAGGTTTTGAGCTCAGTTCTCAAGGCTCAGGATCCATCACCAACAAGATTCTAAAGGGCTCCAGACTCTTTTAGGCAGAATATTTTTGGTGACCTTCCATTGTATTTAGAATTATAAGTAGTAAATATTAATCATACAGGATTGTATATCTACATTGGCAAGGCAGCATTTATGAAAAGAATCTAAGTGACAAGACAGACATTGCAGATTTACAATAACTTTGTTCATAAATTTTTTTGCAAGATGTAAAGAAAGACATAGTGCAGAGAGGGAAGAAGCCAACAATGTGGATTTAATCATCTACGTTTCAGAAATGCAGACCAAATGTCTGTGAAGATGTCCATTTCATCCAAACATTTCTTAGATATATATTTCAAAGCTCTCTGCTCAGTCAATCCAACACTTCATTCATATTGGAACAAATATTGATTTTTCTTCTATTAGCAGTGGTATGGGAGTTTTTGAGGATCCCATAGGTTAGTTACCCTTATTCTCTGTTAGAACTGTTTGAATTGCCAAGAGGTCATTTACAGCACAGGTAGGACTAAAGAATATCTGTTTAAAGTCTATTCAAACCAGGCCTTCTGTGAAACACTTTTTCCTATAGAAATCACATAATGATACTGCTTTATCAGATCTAGTGTGGAATATAGAACTACAGGTTAGTCCTCTGGTTGCTGCAGGTGAAAAGGCACTGCTAGGGAGAATGACAGTCTACAGCACAAGGAAAATGGACAACTTTGTTTCCTACAAGAAAGTTCAGCTGAATTGCACATAGCATTAATTTTAAATATATATTTATTTTATGTTAACCCCTAAACACCTTTCTCCCTCTCTTGTTAGCTCCAAGTTAGCCATTTCCTCAGTGATAAGTAGCAGGATCCTTGTGGATGGGCACAGGGGACACTGTTTTAGTGTAGCCCTTCCATCTGATGGGATGAAGGCCCCGTCTGCATCATCTGAGTTTGACTAATAAGCTGAGTTGAAAGTACTGCAAAAATTTAGACAGTGGAAGCCACACTTCTGTAAAACCAGAAGCACATGGAAGCATTATTTTTTTGAAAAATGAATTGGTGTTTTAAAGAAAAAAATAGCCCCTAAGTCTTGTGTCCTCCTTCATGTGTATTCTTTTAAGCATCAGGAAATTTGCCTTTGTTTATTAATTTTCTAAATGTATTCATTATTCTTGAATTGTTTTTGATATTAAGAAATATTTTTTCAGTAAGATTTTGCCTCTCTGCTAAATCTTTCATATCTTCATTAATTTTGATGTCTGCAATGACTTAGTAACTCCAGAGGAGGCAGGAAAGCTGTGAGGTTTATACGTGTTGAGAAGTTGAAGGAGGTAATGATTTTATTATTTTTATTTTTTTTTTGAGAAAACAGCATTAAAATAATTTTAAAAATTGTGTCTTTTCATCTGGGATACTTTAACCAAGAGTGATAGGCTGTTTAGTCTGGACTGTGAATTTCAGCATAGATGTCAGCAAGGCAGCATGTTGAAAGTAGCTTTTCCTAGGGGTTTCAGGTAGTAGACATGTACCCTCTGAGTCACAAATTTCCCATTTCCTGCTTTCAGGAGGGCTGTGCTGGTTTGGACACTGAACTACAACAGCCCACTCAGTGCTAAGCAATGAAAAGAGGAGTCCTGTTCCCTTTTCTTCCAGCTCATGTGTAGGGAATGCAGAGAGCATTAAGCTGCTTTATTTCCTTGTCCCACATTCCAAACAACACTCGGCCCCAGAAAGGCCCAGAAACCCCATCCAATGCTCTTTTCCAAAGCTTGATATGTCCATTTTTTCAACACATGACATAAAAGCCTGAAGAAACCCGTGTAAGCCCTCAGGAGTTCCCCACGCAGGACTCAGCAGCCTCTCAGAGACCGCAGCAATAATCTTATTCCCCTGTTGCCCCAAATCATAGCCTTTCACCATGCACTGGAGAGATGCTAATCCTGAAAACACTCCCAAGGATGTGTTTGAATGTGGTGTATTTGAGCTGTGCTCATCAGCTAAGCAGCTCTGAATGGTGGCATTGTCACAGCTCAGCGGGTCCAGCCTCTGCTGCCAAGGGGACCCACCACACGCTGGAGGAGCCGAAACTGCTGCACCAGTGATGGTGCAACCATGATGAAAGGTTTGAGGGCCACCTTTCCTCCTGCCTGGCTCTCTGGCTGAGGTGTTAGAGCTCAGCTGGAGCCATGATCCAGCGCTAATGAGCATTTCTAGCTTGCACATGTGAATAGGGACTACTGATGTGTTTAATGTTAAACATGTGCTTGCTTGCCTGCCTGCCTGCCTGGAGAGGAGCCTAAAAGCCATGACAGAAAAGCCTATATTAATGAAGGGAATTATTATTCTCTTCCCTTTGAAATCTGGTGGCAGAATTCCCAGTGGGGGAATTCCCAATAGGAATTCCCAGTAAAGCCAAAGGTGGCACAAGCACGAAGATGTTTCCAGTGCAGGGAGAACAGAGAGCACTCAGGGAGAAAAGGAGGCAGCGGTGATATAAAGGTTCTTAGTGCAGAAGAAGGACACCAGGTGGTAACTGCAGGGACATGAGCAGCGCTGCCAGGCTCTGTTCTGGTCCCATGGGGAGTTCAGAGTGGATCAAGGGACCAGGCAGTGCAATGCCAAGGCATGTTCCACTCTATCTCCAGCCACACTCCCTGTGCTGGTATCCCACAGCACAACGATGCCTCCATTGTGTCTGCCTCACTCTTATTATGAAGTGGCTTGTCTAAAGAAAACTAAGAAGGGTGGGGGAATTTATTTATTTTTTTTTTATGTATACATGGAGTAAAAACAACCTAAATATGCTTTAATGGTTCTCAACATGATACTGTCAATTCTCACCACAGGGTGGAATTTGTTGGTGGAAATTAAATTAAATTAAATTAAAACAGAAAAGCTTGGCTATTGCTAATGGGTACTACTGGGAGCCCTAAAAGCAGTTTGCAGTGTTGAACCATAACAGGAGTGAACATCCTTTAATTCCCAGAATTGCTTGGGTTTCACAGGGTCATTTTAGCCTATTCTGCTGCACTGCTGAGAAGCTGCTCTTTCCCTGTCTCTCTAGATCTATAAACTCTGAAGAATTTGGGAAATGGCTACGGGCACCAAATTAGTCTTTTTCACTCCTTTTTTTCCCCCTCCTTCATTAAATTAACTACTTTCATTTGGAAATAAGCAATAAGTAAGTAGAATTTGCAAACAGCAGATTTCTCTACTCTTTCATTAAGAAAGTTTTTAAGTGCTTTCAGGAAATGAGAGGTTATCCCCAGCTTTGTGAGTAAACCATGGTGTAAAATACAAGTGGGATTCTGATTAAATTATTGAAGCAGAAAGATTGCAGCTTGTTTTAAGGAGCATGCTTCAGAGTAAATGAACAGAATATTCCAGATACTGCAACAGGGTCTTCAGCTCTAGTTTCTAGTTTGGGTTTTTGGGGTCTGTGCTTGTTTTTTGGTTTTTTTTTAAATTACCTATTCTACAATATAAAAACTATATATACATATACATTCAGAGTATTTATCTACATTATTTAATTCAATAATGCTGTGAAGTTTGTCGGGCTGGAAAGCGGCATAAAGAGGAAAACTTACACTTTTGAAAAGGCACTATTATTTCTGTGTCTTTGATTTGGTTCCCACTGGAATAAACAAGAACCACACCATTAGTTGTGTGGAAGCAGGATCTCAACTTCAGAGACCCGAAGGTTTGGCAGTCCCTTGGAGGGCAAGGTAATTTGCTGTGCAGCAATCCGAGCCTTGCAGTGGGCACAGCGCGTTTTGAAGGCGTTCAGAGCCGTCCTTGGGTGAGGGTGTGATGCTTGCAAAGGACCCCAGTGAATCCCCCGCTGTTTTAAAACAAGATTAAGCCATCATGAGATGTGGACTGGCTAACCCCAAACCAGACACATTCGCCTGCAGCGCAGCCGCTAAATTGGTCTGACATCAGGAACCGCAGCGAAGGAGCTTGGCCTCAGAAGTGAGTCAAAGCAGCATCTTTGTCACCAGTCATTTTCTATTTATAATGACACAGATCTATTTTATAATCACGGGGAGGCACAACAGGAGTGTGCTTTGTTCTGCCTAAATCGCATTTCTCGTGCGGGTGCGTTTAAACACAGCCCTTGGCCCCTTGCCCCACACCACACACACCCAGGGCAGGCAGCTCTGGCACAACAATGCACACCCTGTCGTGCTTGAATGAGCAAAGCCTCCAGTGCTGGAGCAATAAACTCTTGCTAAATGGCTTAAAAATGTTCCCTTAAGTGCACCGAGCTGCCCTGCTGCTGCTGCCTCACTTCTCATTTCCAATGCTGTTCTGTTTCTAAGCCTTGTGTTTCAAAGAAACCAGGAGTGTGTTTTGTTGTTTAGTGGTGGAAATTGCTGGACATTAATAACTGTAAGAATTTGGGGTGAAAAATTCCACTCCCCAGCCCAGCCCTCTTTCCTGGTGCAAACCTGACAGCTTTTACTCCTGACTGTGTTTTCACAGGCTATGAACAAATTCCCAATAGCTGCTTGGTTTGGTTCCTGGAGAATGGGGTCCTCATCTGTGCAAACTCTCAGAGCTATGATGGTAACCCCTCTTTGCTTCCTTTTGTTCTTTTTTTTTTTTTTTTTTTTTTTAATGAAGGGTCCTGCTCTGTATTTCCTAGAAAATTAAGGTTTTGTGATCAATAGATTAATTTTTGTAACCTGTTTTCAGTTCTAAAGCCTGAAGATCAAAACCAAGTTGTACAGTAAGATTTGTGGGTGAGCAGAAGTGCTTTTTTCCCCTCCCAAACCTACTCGTTTTCAAATCCTGACTCATTTGGAGCACAATTCTGGTTACTTTGAGGAGGTCTGAGGTTGAAAGAGAGGAAGGGGAGCCCCACAGAGATAGGATAGCAGAAGCCAGTCTGGAAGGCTTAAGAGATGTGTGGACAAGTTTCCTATCAGTGGGTGAGCAGAGAGCTGCGTGGCCCCAATGGACCCACAGTTACTTAAAACCTGCACTGATATTCAAAGGCAAAATTTGGGCAGTGAACCATGACATGATGATCAGACATGCTACATCTTCAGGGTAAAAAAACAATCAAAAAAAGAGCTCATTTGTAAGGACACTAAAATTTTTAGCTATTGTCAAGACCTGAGTTCATATGACTGGATTTTCTCCTCCAAAATGTCATTAATCCCAGAAATGGCTAATGGCTTCGGGGCTCCCACCTGAAGTACTGGGCTAAAACCAAGATCAAAAACTCATATGGAGAATTACCTCATATCAGGAATTACCTTAAAACTCAGACCTGATAAGATTCAAAGAAAAGCAATTTATTTGTAAACAACTATTTTATAGTTTCTGACGGTGAAAAGTAACTGTGTATCCAGAGGGCACCATCAGATTAGAAAGCGAGCCTGAATCCCTTTGTGTACTTGTGTTTTTCAGCCAAGGAAGATTCTTCTTAATGTGCAATTTTAGATTAGATTGCAACCTTTTGGAGTAGGAACTATGTATTTGTTCTCTGCATGTGCAGCTCTTTACATGACAGGACCCTGATTAGAGCCTTTGTGGGCTGTTCTACCCTCATAATCTGTAATAATAGGAAAAATATAATTAATATGTCATTGCAGTTTACCTTTAATATTATGATTGTGAGACTGTACTCTGTCAACTGTGAATAAAATAATGTCCTTTTTGTATAATAGGTAGTATATTTTATTATTGAAGAAAGAGTTAAATTTAATTTTTAAACAGAAAAAGTATCTGCTCATTGTTTTATTTTAAGCTTTTGAATAGATAAGCAAATATAACTCTTGTATCCTTCAAATGAGTATGTGTTAAATGAAGAAACCCACCTTCCTGAATTGGAGCTGTTTATAATTATATTCCAAGAGTGATTATCACCTTTTAATTTGAATAAAAGTGGTTTATTTTCTCATTGGGTTATTGCTGGACCTTTGTTTAATTTTGTTGGGCTTTTTTTTTTTGAAACAGGCAACTTTTCTTTGCCTGCAAAAAAACCAAGTGTGCCCAAAGCTTGAATTCAGCTATACTCATCCTTTGCTCTAAAATAGGGATATGAGAACTTGTGGGGTTATAATACACATCTATAAAATAATGGAGGGGGTGAAATGGGGTGTAACCATTCACTATTTCTCATATCAGAGGTTGTGCATTTCTAATGAAATAATCAAGCACAAGTTTAAAGAAATCAGAAAGAAAAGCCTTTTTACAC